CACACACACACACACACACACACTCCCTGCTTAGCTACCCATAGAGGTAATAAGTATAGATTCGCAGGCCAGAACACTTGGGATGGAGGGGGCTGGGTTACTAAGCAACATGCCTGTTGATGTCCAAACAATGTCGACGTCAAAGTGGCCGCTTGTGCAAGACTGAGGTTCTGCTGAGTACAACAATGTTTCTGGTGTGTTCCTAAATGCAGACGGAGGGACAGCCCACAGACGAGCTGAATGAAACGAAGACCAACACACGCCAAAGAGCTTACAGCGCTTATTCAACGAAATACAGTTCCCGCTGCTGTATTTGATATTATTTGTCCATGTACTTTCAGGACCAGTGGGCAGCGTGTGGCGAAGGGGAAGAAATCTGCAACCTGGTCTATTATAAAAGCTGTATGAGAGATGCTGTGCAAAATTATAGTAGAAGCATTTTGTGAGTTTTTTTTAAATGTATATTCCTTAAAATAATAGACAAATGATGTTTTTCACACTCAGTTTCTTGTCTGAGTTATACTGTGATTTGCTTTTTCTCTCAGAACCAATTACAGGCAAACTTCACAGGCAAATTTCAGGATTGGCAGCGTTGTGCAGCTCAGCTCCCTCATTTGAATAACAGACATACATCCTGGGTGGAAGTCAGTTTTGCTTACCAGTTGAAAGAATCAAAGCGTGTTCAGTCGTCCAACAGACTGCTTATGCTCTCTGAAGCCACCTCTGTGTTTTTCTCTTCCTGGGAAATATAACTCATATTTAGTCTTGCAGGATTGTATGCATACAGTCCCAGGCATCAAAAATTTGTTCCTGGAAACCTTTGAATATATGTACAAAGAGCTGCCAATGACACATCGATAGAGCACATGACTTACACATTACATAACTGCAGGATACCTCGAGAGATTGGGAGCAGCTTTGTTGGACTTTGTAGAACCATTAATACACAGTTGCTTTGTAGTGTAACCAGGTCCCATTATATCGAATGCCGCTGCATTTTAAGCATCAGGTTTCCGCTGCCATCTGTGTTGGGATGCATCTCCCAGCCAATCGCTGGCAACAGGAGAAAGTGAAAAGGCTTTTAAATATAGCAGAAGTAGATAAGAAGCCAGAGTCAGGGCCCATGCAGGCAGCCATGGATCAGACGTGGAAGGTAACGTCAGGACACCGCTCATTCACACTTGCACGGCAAATGTTTAGGTTTAGTGCCCTGCATGTGTGCGTCTGCTGTTTAACAGCCGTCGTCTGTGACCTTCAGAATAAAGTGCAGGAAATTGTTAGTGCAGGAACCAGAGACACTCAACCTGGACTGCATTACCCCATGACCAGTCCACATCTCCATGGATCAGGCAGATGTTTATTTCAGGCCATTTACTGACTGCAGCCTGGGAGTTTTCAGTTTGTTGGGTTTAGTGTCCCTTGTGGAAAAATGCTTCGCATCAGTGTTGTCCTGCAGAATGAATCACAAGATATTAATGGAAGCTGTAGAAAGGTATGGATTGTGTAGAATAAAGTAGCATCATAAGCATTTACAGTTAGATTAAATTCAGCACAAACTAGACTCCCGATCATCAACCGTTTCCATCCATCACAAGTACTATTTTGATATGATTATAAGCTTGAACAAGGCAAAAGTGCAATATTCTTATACTTGAAAGCGCAAATGAATATATTTCCAATTTATATTTAAATAAATACATTTTATGTATGTTGTATATGCTGCTTTATGAGTTTTTGAAGTTGATCGGTTTCATCCTGTTTTTTAAGCTGTGTCATCCACTTCAGGCCATCTGGCCGAGACAATGATGGCAGGGATGGCACAGAAAAGAAATGGACCATATCTCCACAACACTTTCTCCAAACAACACCAAAATTACTCAACAAGCAAACTTTTTGTTTGCAGCTTTTGTTTCATTTTAAAGGTACATGGTGAGGTGCTGAGTACAATGGTAGTGGCAGTGGTGAAGAAATACACCTTCGCACAGACAATACGTCACTACTGTGAAGACTTTTTTCTGTATATTTTTTGGAATTAAATGATTCATAACTATAGTACACTGACAAGTAGATTACTGTTTCCATTAAAGAAGACGTGTATGAAAAATGACATGGTAAAGGCATGCAATGATTCAAGCTTTCCTGCAGAATTGATGATTATCGTTGTGTAGAATAATTTATAGACAGGGACACACAAGATCTAAGAAAAACTGTTGAATCGTATTTTCTGGCATAAAACTTTCCAAGCGCACTGTGTTTAAAGGTTGTAGTTTTATATGTTGGTTTAAACCTTTGACAATGAGGAAAATTCCACAGTTTACATTTCTTCTCTCGGAAAGATTTTCCAAGATTGCCTCGTCAAGCTCAGATGTTATTTTAATGCTTACAACCATACATAGGCCTAGCATATGTAAAATTGCTCTAATGGATACTATTAAAAGGAAAGTCAACACTAAAATGAAATTTCACTTATTATCTACTCACCACTATGCAGATGGGGGTGAACGCGGCTCCAGAAAAAGATATCAGAGGACATTTAGACTAAAAACATGGTGTAAACGACACCGTTTCGAGTCTAAGGTAATGAGTGGATTTTCATTTTTGGGCGAACTATCCCTTTAAGTTTCATTGAATTTCTGGATAGTTATGATAAAGGGTAAGTTAAGACATCGTCGAAAAATAGCCTAAAATATATTATACCTTTATTATGTAGGATAATAGGATCATTTAAACTGCGATAAAATGGATTATGGGACTTTCTGAAGAATGAAGGACAGACTGATCATTGGGCTACGATGAAAAGAAACTAGGCCAGAGAGCAAAATAAGGACCTGGGTGCACTATAATCTGATTTTACAGGCGTTTTGTCCCAAGAAGCACGATTTTAAGAAGCATCTACAGGACCCATTCTAACACTTTCTCCCCCTGTGAGTGAGACAACTGTGGGCGGTGGATGAAGATGAACTAATCCCCTCTTCTCTCTGTGTGTGGACCCCACCCGGAGCAGCGGGAAGGACCCCTGAAGGCGCCCAGGGGCTCCCCTCCGCCCTGCCTCCCTGCCTCCCTCCCTCCCTCCCTGGCTCCCGCAGCAGCAGCAGCACCACTCGCAGTCAGGCAGCGGGACTCCAGGCTCTCACTTCCCCAGCTGCTGACGTCAGCTGGCAGCCTGGGCTGTGCTCGCCGCTCCGCTCACAGCGCCGAGGAAAAATGCTGCTCTCCGTTCCGCCAAGGGCAGGAATCAACCCATACAGCGGCTACAACAGCAGAACCAGCAAAAAGGTAAAAAAAAGAAAAAGCGCCTTCGGGCCTTCTCCTTATGCCGAACATTTTCCGGGCTTGTTCGCTCCCTTCGCAGGACAACACGTCTGTGTGCGCCGCGGAGAGAAAGAGGAGAAACACGGTGACAGTGTGAGCTGCAGTGTCCTTGAGAGGCGAAGCGGAGTGAATGTAACTTCAGACTTCATGGAGTGGAGCCGCGGAGATGCGGAGCTTTTTCGGGGGGGGAAGTGGCCGCAGCTCGGTCCTGTCATGTTGTGCGACCGCTGTTTAATGTGGTAGCGATTGTGTGTGTGTGTGTGTGTGTGTGTGTGTGTGTGTGTGTATGTGTGTGTGTGTGGGGGGGGGGCGCGTGCGTGTGCGTGCTACTACAGTAAGGATGTCGGCTCCTGCTCACACTCGCAGGAACAAAAAGACAAGTCAATGCCGGAGAGAGCAACTTTTTTTTTACGGGTGAGTGTGGCGGACCGTGTCGGGACAGTAGCGCGTCTGAGCCGGGAAGTGTTCGTGTTAGTGGGGGTAGGGATAGGGAGAGAGAGGGGGGAGAGAGAGGGAGAGAGAGGGTGTCTGTGGCGAACATGTTACAAAACCAACTCTTCCTCCGTCAGATCGCGTCTCGTGTTAAATCTGCTTCTTCATTGTCTCGCGCTGCCGCGTAACTTCGCTAAGTTTTTTTCCTCTTCTCCTGGTTTCCCATTTGAAGGCGCAGTTTGCCCCACCCCTCGAAAAACCCTCCACTCCATGATGACTACTTTCCCAGAAATATGAATCGAGCCCTCTCTCTCCCTCTCTCCCTCTCTCCCCCTCTCTCTGTTGACACTATCACTTTTCTAACCAATAGGTGAAGGAAGTGTAAATGCATTCAGAGGCAACAATCTACAATCAATCAAATATAACAATCGTTTTACACTGAAACTTCCATCAAGTCCATCAAGATATACATTTCAATATCGATTATTATCATGATAAATAAACTGTTTTATAACTGTATAAGTTTCAATGGCTGATTTCAGCTCTTGAGTCCATAAATAAAATTGAATTTGTACAGCCCATATTCACAAATCACAATTTGTCTCATAGGATTTACAAGGTGCTCCTCCCTTAACCCTGAACAAGGGAAAGGAAAAACTACCCAGAAAACCCCTGTCAACAGGGGAAAAACCGTAGTGAGTGAAGGATGTGGTTTTAAACTCTTCCTATGAGCAGGGAACATAAACAGCAAGAAATCTTTCCCATCTAAAGTAGATCCATTATGTGTTACACCTCCTCACATTGTGTCCTCCTTACACAATGTATCAGCATCGTGTCAACATATATTTGTGATTGATGAAAAATTATATCGCTTTAATTATTGATGTTGTTTTATCGAGCTGTGTCATGGTTGCTTTCACTTTTGAAACCAATAGCTGAGGGAAGAACACTCTTGTGCAAATGCATTGAAACAGATACCAATAATAAATAATAAAAACATGGATACAAAAATACCATTTATTTAGAGTCACTCCTGACAAAAGTTATATTTGAATAAACTCTTCTTTATGAGCAGAGAATGATAAACACATTCACATTTTACAAATCATACCATGTGTCTACATTGCGTAAGCATCATATTGATATACATTGAACCTTTGTTATACTGCTATTGATTATACCTTTTAATGTTGACTAGAACAATTGAAAACAATTGATAAAGATGCCAAATGTTTAGGGTCATTGCTTGGCATTTTAATTTTTTAATTTTTTTTTTTAATTTTTTTGCTTCCCTGCCCTTTTCCTGAATAGTCTGTTTTGATTTGCTCTCACTGTATGACGTGTCTTCTCTTTATGGACAATAAAGGCCTCTTAGCGATGATAAAAGCTCCTCCATTATCTGTGAAATTGAATCTACACGGTAGTTCCTCGTCCTCTTCTGCTCTGTATGCTTGACTGTGTGTGTGTGCGTGCACGTGTGTGTGTCTGCTCACAAAAGGCATTTTAAAAATGTTTATTGACGTATTGTCTGTCTGTGATCTTGGGCACCGCCTGGCTGCTCATCCTCCCAGATCTGATGTCAACACTTGAAAGGCTTGTCTGAGGAAAACAGCATTGTCTATGAATTGTTTGTCCTTGCTCCTAAAACTGGTCAAAGTCCTCACGCACACACACACATGCACGCACGCATGCACACACACGTGCATACGCCTCACATTAGATGTTTACTGTGTATACACTTCAGTGCTGTTATTTACTTGAGCTAGAAGTGGCTTAGACCAAATTTTATTTCGGCACTTTTCGAAAGGAAGTTGACACTGTGAGAAATGGAGGTGTCAGCACTTGTGGTTCACATTTTTACATTTGGTCATTTTCTGACAATATGTTCAATGTTATGTTTTTTCTAGGCCAAAGCAACACTTGCAGTTGACTCTTGCACTCAGGGCTTAAAAGTAATTGATTAGATATACAGAAAAATAATCAGCAACTGTTTATAGATTTATGGCGTCAACATGATCTGTTTCCAGCCTTCTACATGTGAGGATTTGCATCTTTTCTTTGTCATATATCATCGTAAGCAGAATATCTTTGCGTTTTGGACTTAAAGACAAACGAAACAAGACATTTTGAACATGCTGCTGTAGGCTCTGAGAAGCTGTATTAAGACCATTTGTTAGATGTCATAGATTTAACAAATAACCAATAAGATTAACTGATTAATTAATAAGGAATATTGTTGATTGCAGCCCTGATTGTACTATTTGAGTTTGTTTCATTGCAGTTTGTATTTCAATGATCTTCTCGTAGACTCCTCTATTTAGTGCAGCTAAAGTTCATGCAGAGGTCAAGTTCCTGTGATGTGATTCCTCCGCTCCCGCCACCTCCTTCTCATTCTTTGTATCTCTACCTCACATTCTTACTAACCTGAGCTGTAAAAGTACACAAAATACAAGCGTGAACGCAAATAAAAACACAAGCGCTCTTTGTGAGTGCAAAGTGGTTGCAGAGGGTGACAACTAAAAAAGCGTTGTGTCTTTGTAGTGCTTAAAGCAGCTGCTCCTCCCCTGACTCCGCACCTCATTTCCTCCCTCAAGTAAATAGAATTAATGTTCTCAAATCAAATTTGGCTGGTTTCTGTGTAAAGCTTCCTGGATGGAAAAATAACAGGAGGCTGCTTGTCACTTCTCAAGGTATCATGCGTCTCGTTCAGGGCCTCATCAAAAGGCATGTTTTTGTACTTGTCAATTGGATATTTGTTCTCTTATCAGACAGAGTTCTTCTCAATGAATGTCAACTTTCAAAGCTCCGGATGCCTCAAAACCTACTCTGTCTGATAATGCTTCTTCATAAAAGATGTCAGTTAAAAAGCTCAAACCTAGTCAAACAAACAAGTTAAACATTTAAAACACATTTTACTTTATAACATAGAAATCTTACTCACTCATTGAAAAAAACTACCTTATTTGTTCCCAAAGAAGTTATCACCAAGTCATCGTTAGCTATCATAATAACTAACTGTTGTGTAAAAGCAACACTAATATGATTTTAGCCAAATCTCTGTTGAACTGGATTTAAAAGGAGTTGTTTTCTTTCCTTACTTCACTGTAGTTGTGAAAATCAAGTGTAAGATTGGAACATGAGCCGACAATTCTATCACTTTCAATGCCGATACAGCAATGACATGACATTCAATGTTGACAGACATTCATTACAATGTCAGATGTTTTGCAGTGTTTGACTTGAGAGCATTTTTGTGTTTGCTCACTCAGGTGAATACAGTTTTGTACTTTGAATATATTTAATAGTGACCAGTTTACAGTCGTACTAACACATGACACCAAAGTAGATATTTGACACTAACAACACTGAGACTTGACAGATGGCTGGCAGCTAATCAGCTTCACATTTATCTATCTGCACACTTCCCAATTTTTTCTCAAGCAGGATGGTGGTTGTGCAAGACGTTTGGTCACTCAAGGTATATTTTGTTATCACACTTAAAATTAACTGAAACTTGGTAGTGAATAGGCAAAAAACATGGAAATCCACTTCTGTTATAAACAGCTCTCATTAACTTGTTTTGGTCAACCACAGGAAGCTGTTTTCACCCAACTAACACTGATAAAGCCACTGTGCTAACCTGCCCAGCACCAAACTGTGGTTAAAGACAAAGAAAAATCTATTCATGTGAGATTAAAAAAAAAAAAGATACATTTTCCGAGTACACTAACACACACCTAAGTGGATTTGACATTGACATTTTCAGGCACTTTAATTCTTATCCTTTGTGAAAAATGGTACAAATGTTACTTTGAATTTAAGGAAACCAAACTAAACGCAAAATGTAACGTTTTTATAACATTTTTGCCATCTTTTGTCACTGACCTTTAATACAGTAAATGCAGCTTTATGCTTAGAGCACCTTGTGATGAGTGCCAGCCGTTGTTTCATATAAGCTACCAGTAGCTTCTCCCTACAAGTAAGAACGCTGTTGATAGTTTAGCCTTTTCATTTTTAACTTTAATTTAAACCCATTATGACTTAGAGATAATCAATCTACACCAAACAGTAGAGGCACTGAAGTCCGGTCAAGTTCCAGAGGCTCTGTATGTGGGAACAGAAATGTCAGAGGAAGTTGCTCTGCACATATTCAAAGACATTTCCTGTCAGCCCCTGTGTGAAATGTCTGAGCGAACCCATGTTAGAATACAGCTGGGAAATGTATGAAAATTTCACAGTGATTAAATGGGCGTGTTGATTACGTTTGTAGTATGTGAGGAACGCAAAGTGGAAGAATACAAATATCTCAGGATGAAAAAGAGGAGCCATACACGTAGATGAAACAGACAAAGATGTCAATGAGAGTTCCAGAGCTTTTGGCCACAAGGGCCGACGCCATAAATGTCAGAGAAGTATCAGGAAAATGTCCAGATGTGACAAATTCATGTCTGAAAATAGCTCCAGATATTGGTGAATATGTTGCTTGATAAAGTAACAGGAAATATTGAATTATGTGTCTTAGGTGATTCATA